TGGTAAGTCCTCGGATAAGGTGAGTTCGCTCTACCAACACGGTATCCCCTATCTTAAATTTCATAGGTTTTCTTTTGTTTCTGTCGAAACGACGCTTCATGTTCTTAGCCCTTATATCGCAACGCTTTTTGGCTAAAGTCCTGAGTTGTTTTAGGTTTGTAGGTGGTTCCTGAGTTAAACGGATCTCATTTTCTGCATTTGGTCTAAATCCATACAACAATACACTTGGTGGTAAACCTGTAGTTGCATTCTGCGAACTATTGATTCCCCTCTGAATTTGAACTAGATGCTTGTCCCAGCTTTCATGTTCATCTTCAATGCTTGCTGTCAGAGCCTCTAATACGGTGCGGTTTAAACGTTCCACTTGTCCGTTGCTTCTTGGGGATGCTATGGCGTTCTTAACATGTTTGATGCTGTATTTTTCGCAGAAATCTCTGAAAGTTTTGCAGTCGAATCCTTTGCCTCTATCAGTAATTACTCTGGTGGGAACATGCACCAACTTTATCAATAATTGTTCCAGAGTTTTACACACATATTTGCTGCTGGTATCGGGAACTGCTTCCAGCCAAACAAACTTTGTAAACCCATCAATAATAGCTAGAATATGGGAGTTGCCCTCAGCACTTTTACAGAAGGGCCCTACGTGATCTAGATGTAAAGTATGAAACGGTTGCTCCTTTTTTTCAATTGGATGTAATTCAACTTTACGTTTTCCTGTTGGCCTTTTTGAGACCATACAAGGAATACAGTTTCCAACAAACTTTTTGATGAATTTTCTCATATCCTTGAACCAGTACGTTTCTTTGGCTGCATTGTAAGTTTTTTGCCAACCCGGATGCCCATTATCATCATGAAACATCTTAGTAATTCGCCATCTTATGTCTCGAGGTATGAGAATTTTTGGTTGTCCATTGATGGTTTTACAAACTTTGTCCTCAACGATAGAATAACCTTTTTCAGCAATATTCTGAGTAATTTGCTGTCGTAGCAGACATATATCTTCATCTTGATTTTGTACTGCTACTACCCATTCATTGGTTTTTATTGCAGATATGACCACAGGATTACGACTTAATGCGTCTACGTGTTTCATTTGAGTTCCAGGTCGGTGAACTACGGTGAAATCGTATTCCTGCATCGATAGCCACCACCGACCTACTCGTGGGGTGAGCTCTTTCTTCGTCCATGTTAGCCTTAATGCATTGCAGTCGGTGATTATTGTGAAATGTCTGCCATAAAGATAATTACGAAACTTGTGTACTGCTTCATAGACTACCAGTGTTTCCAGTTCATAGCTATGATATCTAGTTTCAGTGTCGCTAGTTTGTCGGCTCATGTAAGCTATTGGTTTCCATTCGGCATTCTCTTGTTTTTGCAATAATGCACCTGCGATTCCCAGTTTGCTGGCGTCAGTATGTAATTGAGTCTCGGATTTGCTATTGTAAATTGCCAGCACAGGTTTAGCCGTCAATTCCTCCTTCAACGTATCAAATGCCATTTGATGTTCGGTTGTCCAAGCCCATTTGGTGTTTTTTCTCAGGAGAGAAGTTAAGGGTTTGGCCTTCAATGCAAATTTCTCAATATACTTCCTAAAATAGGAGGCCAATCCAATAAATTGTCTGGTTTGGTGCACATTTGTGGGGGCTGGAAATTTTTCAACTGCCTCGAGCTTTTTGCGCGATGGTTTAAGTATTCCTTTTGAAATTTCTACTCCTAAGTATTCTACAGAATCTTTAAGGAATTCACATTTTGCGATGTTTAATGTAAGTCCAGCAAGATCCAATAGGCGTAACACATTATCTAATCTTTTCAGTCCCTCTTCGTGCGTCTCAGCTACAATTAAGATATCGTCCAGATATACCTGAGCATATTGATGCCTAACGTCACCTAAAGCGAAATTGATAGCCCTCTGAAATACAGCCGGGGCATTAGATAGGCCAAATGGGACTCTGGTGAACTGATAGTGTCCATCAGGCGTAACGAAAGCAGTATATTTTCGGCTTTCATCCGCCATCTTTATTTGATGATATCCGGCCTTCAAATCTAGGGTTGTAAAAATACTATTTCCATTTACTCGTTCGATCAGATCTTCTATTAAAGGTAGTGGGTACTGGTCTTTAACTGAAATTGCATTCAATCTTCTATAATCGCATGCCATTCTATATCCTCCATCCTTTTTTTTTAATAATAAAATTGGGCTGGAATATGGTGAATTAGCTGGTTCTATTATTCCTTTGTCAAGCAGTTCTTGGATTATTTCTCGGACTTTTTCTCTTTCAAACTCTGATAGGCGATATGGTTTACTTGATATAGGGATACTAGAGGTTAGTTCTATTACCATTTCTATATCTATATCACATAGAAGAGAGCTATTCTCCTGAAATCATCTAGGATATTTTGTTAAAATATTGTTAACTTCTTCAGTGACATTGGTGGAATTTTTGTCGCCTTCGTACCATCTCCCTCTTGCCACACATGTGTCCTTTTCTAGAGTTATTTTTTCGAGGCCCATATTTAATACTCGCAACTTAGTTTCATCGAAAATCATCTTTAATTTATTTTTAGGCACAATTAAAGTAGAATTGTTTCGACTCTGCTCGGAAAAATTAGAATAGACTATGCCCTCTGATTTACCCTCATTTACTGGTGTAGTAACGCTGATGAAATTTACACCCGGATTTAAAGTAGTTTTTTCCAAAACATTGAGTTGGATTTTATCATTACTCACTATACATGCAGGAAGTTCTTGAAAAAAATTGGTTTCGGTCAAATATAGATGCTTTGCTGTCTTATAAACAAATATTCCTTCTCTTTCTGTAACCGGACGCCCTATTAAAACCTCTACATTTTGCATTTTATCAGGAACAATATAAAAGTCAGTAGTAATTTTAATTTCATCGATTTCTATCAACTCTGTTATAATACCTATTGGGTTCACTACAGCACCCCCATAACCTTCAATAACAATATTATTTTTATTTGGATGAACTTGAAGTTGGAGTTTATTAACTAAATCTATTTTTATGGTATTGCATGCACTTCCAAAGTCAATATAAACGGAAATAATTTGATTGTTAATTTTTGCAATTTTATAAAACTTTTCATTACTAGTGTCACTTGAATTGCATGTCATTTTACGAACGGTTTCTTTTAAAGTGGTCGATTTTTTCTATTTAAAACACTCATCCTCCAAATGTCCCTTAATTTTACAAAAATTACAAAATTTTCCAGATTTATTCTTTGGACAATCAGTTTTTTTATGTCCATCCTTGTTGCATAAATAACAAGTCAATTGAGGTTTATTCAAATTAGCTACAGAATAATTTGAACGAGAATCGGGTTTATTTTTGAACTCTCTATTATTAGAGTAATTCTTAAAATGTTCATTGTTAGAGATTAAATATTTTAATAGATCTTGAGTGTTATTACAACCTGCGGCTTTGGCTCCCGTTTTTAAAAAAGGGTCATTAATAGTATTTATTACAATGTCCACTATTAAACAGTCATTTAAACCACAATTTTGTCCTAATGTTAGTTTTTTATAGTAAAAATCTACTAAATTTTGACTTTTTTCCCTTTGTACATTGACTAATTCCTTCAATTTTATGTACATACCCGTTTGCGATGGAAAAGCTTCGATGAGCTTACATTTCCACTCACCCCAGGACATGGTATACTCTGTTTGATTGTTGTACCAGTTTTTTGCATGACCTGCTAACTTGTTAGCCATACAAAAAATGCGCGATTTGTCATCCCAGTCAAACATTTCACCAGTAGAATCGATCGTATGCAACCACTGTTGCATAGAAATTGTGCCATTACTGCCCTGAAATGTGGGAACACTGTCTATACGCCCCTCGAATCGTCTACCACGCGACTTGTGGGACTTTAATTGTCTTTCTAAACTAATCACTCTGCGTTTAAGTTTTCGCTGTTGTCTTTTCGCACTTTTCCGATCACCACTACTTCCGCTTGAGCTAGAGCTACTTGAACTAGAACTAGAACTAGAGCTACTACTAGAGCTTGAATCGCGACGACGCCGTTTTTTTTGATGTTTAGGCATTTTATAAAGTTTTCTTTCAAAATATTAAATAAACAAACACAGTTAAAGTTTTTACAAAAAAAATCTCGTGACTCGACACGCGGGTGAATCTCACTTCTGATTTGTTAAAGCAAAAACTCAAATCAAAATTTCAACAATAATTTATTTCGCAACGGAACGGGTAAAGTATTTATGACCACGGTCAATCAGGTACTCCCTGCCTTTTTGCTTTTCATCCCTTTTCTCTTAGCAAACTTCTTGGTTTTTGGTACCTGACAGTCGAACATTACACAAGGGTTGTTTCGTAACTCTTGGGTGCACGTGTACTTGTCTTGCAGTGGCGGGTTGATTGTACCAAGCCGGGTAAACATAGCCAGTGGTGTAACACTACTTATTACTTACATTCTTTCAAAAATCATGTATTTTTTTTCTGCCTTGAGTCTTGACTCTGAATATTGACTCATTATTAATGCTTAGGCACACAATAATAAAAATTAATTTTCAAATATTATACGACATTATCTCCGAAATATGTATACGGTGTGATTGGCAAATCAAATAAGTGTATTTGCTCAAAAAAAAAATAGTATCGGTTTATCACCTGATGTCTAAATACAGAAATAATCTTATCTAAATTCTGATTGTATAATTAATCAGTAAAAAACAAGTAGGATTCCTGATATTCATTTATTCCGCGGTTATAAAACCGTCAATATCGAATTTATTGATGAAATTAAGTATTTTTTGCTTCTTTGATTTTTCAGTCAAAAAGTTTAAAGAGAAAAATATCAATCAGGTACCTACAATTAAAATAGGTATAAGTATTTAATAACGATAATTATTTACAATTAATTGTTGTAATTGGATAATTATTATGTTGGGTAAATGATCATCGTTTTGCCCTTCGAAACTTAATTGGCCTAGAATTATAAACAGTTTTTTTTAAATTTATTTTCAGTTTTACCCTTTACCAGTGAATATCATCATGGTATAAAGCTGCTGACATTTTGGAATTATTATTGTAAGTATTATTTACATATAAAGTGTTTTTGAAATAAGGCTATTTTGCATACTTTTAAATGGTTTATTTTAGTTATAGGATTGATTCAATTGATAGAAATATTTGTTGGTCAAATCAAAATTTACTTAAAGTGAAATTGAGGGAAATTCTTTATGGTAGTCAAACGATTACTTGTAGGAAAGAGTCTTTATAGATCTCTATTTGAAGTATCATATTTATGCAATAACAGAAGATACCTAATTGATAATTTTTTTATATGTATTGAAACAAATTTTAAATAAAAAAAATACCAAAAATAATATATAGAGCTCTTTTTGAACACGTCATTATTCGATATGGATTGATAATTTGTGGTTGTAATGGGTTTATATGCCTATACAGGGTGTCAGAAAATACATAAATGTAACAAAATTTGTTCAAAGATTCTTAAAAATAAATAAATGACTCATGTTTTTTTATTTTTGGTAAATGAAGTTACGTTACAGTCCCCTTAAATTCACCCCGAAGAATAGTTTTCATTTTATTGCTCAGAATCCTGTTGTACGAAAATACCTATGTGTGGTACACAGAGGTTTTATAACATGAATAATTGATTAAATGGTACGCTTTCAGGCAAAGGACCCTCTCTTAAGACACTTTTTTTTGTGGGTTTGGAGCCTCAAAAGTTTGGTTGTGTATTTTGAATGTTTCAATAAATATTATTCAGTAAGAAAGGCCCATTCAATTTAGAAAAATCTTTTTGTCTCTGGAATTTTTTCCGTTCAACTATATACAGTGTGTCCACACTGTCCACTTAAGTTCGCATGATATGGGAAACTTTTTATTATCAATTTTACGAAAAAAAGTTATTCCTTATAAAAGTTTCTGCTTCTTGAAAAAATACTATTAAACTATTGAAACTTGTAATAGCATATACCTACAGCCTACAGGGTGGTCAAAAAATAGAAAAATATACAGGGTGTTTCCACTGTTTCCTAAGTACGGTTCGTAACTTCAGAATGTTATTCATTACAATATTTTAAAAAAAGTTCCTATAAACATGTGTCCGGAAATTAATAGTTTCTGAGATACAGGGTATCAAGGTTTCAGAAAAAAATCATTCTTTTAGCTCAAAAATCCCTTTTTTATTTATTTTTTTTTCAATTTGACAGTTTGTGATAACGAAAGGTATCCTTTGACTGTAACATGACTTGCCCAATCTGAAAAAAATATCAGAGGTATAAAAAAATAGTGACGTGCTATTTTTTTTTTCTTCTTTTATCAAAAAACACTGTATATTTTTCTATTTTTTGACCATCCTGTACATCCTACTTAAAGTTTTAATAGTTTTATAGTATTTTTCAAAAAGCAGAAGCTTTTATAAGGAATAACTTTTTCTCGTAAAATTGATAATAAAAAAGTTTTCCATATGCTGCGAACTTAGGTGGACACACTGTATATAAGAGAGGGCTCAATCAAATATAAAAAAACTATATATTTTTAGAATCGGGGCATTCTTCAAGAATATAGAACCAAATATATGGCATTCCATTTGAAAAAAACTAAAAGTATGCAACATTTCACATTTCTGACATTCAATTTTTGTTACTGACCATGGATTCTAAAAGTTTAGCCAAAACTGTAATACCACTTTTGTATTTACACCTTTATTCACTTTATTCTACCTATAAAGGTAAAGGCTGTTGATGGGGTGTCAATATATAAAAAAAACACCCGGTACATAGGAAGTTATCATAAGTTGTTGATAGAGGGCAGCACTTTCAAGAAGGCGTTCGAAAAAAAATAATTAGAGCACATATTTCAAATCAATTTTTAATTTTCTACTAGCAGTAGTAAAAAAAATTCTATATGTTCTACGGTAGAGAGTCATTATACAGGGTGTCCCAGGGAAAACAGTCCATCCCGATTTATTGAATTTGGGATGAGAATCAGGGTTTTTCCAACAAAAATCAAAACCAAGTGTCACAAGAACAAATATATAAGTATAGTTACTCTATAATTCAATCTATTTTTCTGTCAGATCTTCTCTTTCAACAACATTAATCAATATTTCTCTTCTTTCTTGAACTAACAAATCAAACATCCCATTGTTATTTAAAATTGATGAAAACTTATGGAAGGATATTGTATCCCTTACGCTATACTGCCAGAATTAACAACTAGACAAACTGCAAGTATACTTGCCCTATAGGAGCTCCCTTGTACCATCGGACGGTTGGATAACGGATGCATGAGACTCAGGCCTATCAAGTGTATGGTAGTTATGATATACATGGTTTCTTTTCTTTTTTTTTGATAAAACTATATGAGAAATAGTCTCATATTAAGCATGCTTATATGAGATATGAGAAAAGTACCGCTTTCACTCCTGCTAAAACAATAGTCTATTTCCAAGATTTTGACAAGCTGTCATACCGTTACAGACAAAATTTCAGGGCCATGGAGAACTCGATGAGATCTTTAAAATGAAGTATGACACGACCCCCATATTCTATTCAAATTGGGGGGGTTGTTCTCTTTCCAGCTAGAAAGTCGAAGCTACCTACGAGAATGAAAAAAATTGAAAAATGATTCCCCCTCAAATCAAAAATCGACGTATCCGAGCTTTTTTCCAGATTTTCATTCCAAATCTAATAAATCGGGGTGGACTGTTTTCCCTGGGACATCCTGTATAATTATGGTGTCACAGTGTTTGTAACGATACTCCTCTGGAACGGCTTTATTGGCCGATTTTTATGAAACTTTATATGTATTGTCACGATATCGTCCGCCAGGCTGTCAAGAATCGATGGTGAAAATACTAGAATCTAGCGAATTATTCTACTTTTATCTGGAAAATTATATTATCGTGTGTATTCTAGATTTTACAGGAAGAGATTTAGGGATATATAAGAGGGCCAGCATTGGTTTGTAAGTTAAGTTTTCAGTACGACTGTGATACGATTCAAATAGTGATTGTAGAGAGTTTAATTGTTGAGTTTGTTAATAAAGTAATTAGTGTCAGAGTGTTTTGTTAGGTGGAATAAATTATTGCTGTGTTAATTGGACTTTGATTTTTGGAATAAACGAAATGAACAACGAACCCAAGATTTTTGTCAGCAGGCAACCCAAAGCCGCGACATTGGTTTCAGAAGTGGGATATAAAGGACTGCAGAGTGAAATCCAATTACGGAAGTGCGGGGACACTAGTGTAGTATAAAAACTGAACACTAAGTGAACACTGGGACAGTTAGTGCAGTGCAAACAGTGACAATCACAAAAAGAGACTCAACCGATCGTGTGAATTACCCCGGAAGTGACTCTATACCCGATAGATTCACTATCTTCGAGTGAGTTCTAGAAAATTCTATTTGGAAACTAAGGGAGATATCGAATTTGTGACTTCGCCGACGCATTCGGAACGTCAATCGTCATTCAGAAGAGATTTTTCGAGGAGTTTCGGGAAAATTCTAGAACATTCTATTTGGAAACCAAGGGAGATATCGAAATTGTGACTTCACCGACGTGTTTGCTGTATCAATCGACATCTAGAAAAGAAATTTCAAGGAAATTCCAGAAAATTCTATTCGCGAATAAAGCAAGTTATCCAATTTGTGACTTCACCGGCGTGTTGGAACTTCGAGCACAGACCAGAAAAGATATTTGAAGAAAATTCTAGAACATTCTGTATATGCCTATCACAAGACAACAAGCCAAAATGGACGAACAAAAAGTTGAAGAACTCCTGCGCAAAATGTTGGAACTTCAAGAGACCAAACGACTACAAGAAAAACAAGACGGAGAACTCAGGCGACAAAAAGAAAAACAAAAAGAAGAAGCTAGACGACAACAAGAAGAAGCTAGGCGACAACAAAAACGGCAAGAAGACCTTGCAAAACTGCAGAAGATATTCCAAACCATACAAGGAACTGTCGCTAACTTAGACCAGAAGATTGAAAAAGTTAGACGATGTGCAAGAAGTTAAACACGACGTCCAGGAAGTAAAAACTGAAGTCAAAATCGATGTTCAAGAAGTTAAAGACGATGTAAGAGAAGTTAAACACGACGTTCAGGGAGTAGAAGCTGAGGTCAAAGCCGATTAAGACAAGAAGTTGAGGACCAAGTTCAAGCGCTCGAGGATAAGATGCGTAGATTAGAAATACAGTCCATCAATCCAGCTAGTGTTGGAGCATTCTCCAGTATGAAGATAAAAACCACCAACTTTCGACGGTTCTACGTCCTGGACCATGTATATTCGACAATTTGAGGCTGCTGCAAATACCAACGGATGGAACGACCAAGAAAAAGCTACAGCACTAATAGTGGCGCTACGAGGACCTGCCTTAGACCTTCTTCAGTCCATTCTTTCAGTCTACCAACAGAATTACCAGCATCTTAGTCAAACTTTAGAACTGCGCTTCGGAGACCATTACAGACAAGAAGTATTCAGAACTCAAGTTAAATCAAGAGTTCAAAAACCCGGCGAGAGTCTACAAGAATTCGAATCGGAAGTTAAAAGGCTAGTGAGTTTGGCGTTTCCTGCAGCTGGGGAAGACATGCAGGAATGGATGGCAGTATCTGCGTTTATTGATGGTCTCAGAGATTCGAAGATCCAGGAAAACCTAAGAATGTCCAAGTTCAGACAAAGTAGCGAAGCCCTTGTCCGAGCATTAGAACTGGAAGCAATATTTGGTGCCACACGACCCAGAATACGAGCAGTGTCCATTGAGGACCCAAAGGAAAAACAATCATCAAAAGAGGATGGCAGTTTCGAGAACCTTATGAGTAATTTCATGGAGAAGACAGAAAAACGGGAAACGACTCCAGACAAACACCAACACAAAAAAATCGATTAGAATGTTATCGCTGCCATAAGGTTGGACACATTCAACGAGATTGTAGAGTAAGAATGCCCTCTCCATCAAGGGATCGTTTCCAACGCTTTTCGAGATCAAGAGACGCCAGCCCTAATAACAGACAGGGAAACGAGAACTAACCAGTATGGAGGGGCGAATGCTGGT